ACCTTGTATATGGTTTTCAAAGAGTGTATACAGCACCACATGGAGACTCCTATGAAGGTTCGAGTATGTCATATATGCAAAACGGTGAGTTACTGAAGGTTTTAACAAGAAGTTGAAAGGTGAAAGATTATAGCACAAATCTGCATAACTATACATTATGGTGGTGGTGATTACATACATAACTTGTGGTAATTCAAAATGCTCACATATTTCTTCATCTTTTTACTTGTTTTGTGGTTGAGAAATTAATATAGTAAACCTGAATTTTAATGCAAATTAAAGTATTCAAAAATTGCAATAAAATGCAACTCAAGTTATGGAGAGGTCAGTGAAATCACCATGTACAAACCACTTAGTAACAGCTACAATTTGATGCCCTGGGTGTCAGTAAAGCATTCTATCTTAAAGATGAACAAGGTTCATTCTGGTACTTTGCATGACTCAAATTTTTGGAAAATTGGCAGCAATTCCAGGAATCTTCTAATAATCGTGTACTGTTTTAATGAGTTCAAACTTGGAATACTAGGCCAGTATATTGTTTGAAAAAATATTTGTTGTTGTTAACCATGTTGTTATTGTTAAGTGCCATTGAGTGGGGATCTGATTCATAGCGACACTGTACAGGGTTTCCAAGGAGCAACTGGTGAGTTAGAACTGCCGGTCTTAACGGCCCACACCGACGTTGCAGTTTACCGCATTAACCGGCAACACCACACCAGAAGTCCATAGAGACCCTATATATGGTTTCTAAGGAGTAGTAGCTGGTGAGTTTGAACCACAAACTCTGTGGTTCAGACCGATTTTATGGTCTAGTGCTTATCCTACAATACCACAACAGGACTGCTCTCTATTTTCCCATTTCCTAAATCAAGAATTCCTGCTATTTCTCCACCTAGCATAATCCTTCTTTCCACCAACTCCTTCTCTTCCTTGGAGAAAAAAGAAGAAATGTATCTAGTGCCACCACTACCTAAATTATTGCAGAACCTACCATCATAGCGTCTTACTATAAGGGGCTTGATTGGACTACTATCAAGGACCACCAGTACCACAGCGGGTTAAGCACTGGGCTGCTAACCAAAAGGTTAGGGGATTGAAAGACTGGATTGGTAACCACAAGGTCATTATTTCAAAGTCACCTGCTTTTCTGCACTCAGAAACTCTATACAGGATTGCTATGAATGGAGAGCAACTCAATGGCAGACACAACATCAAGAGCTGCTGTGTGGAACAAAATAAAGCAGTGTGCTTACATAAAAATTTACAGAAAACCCAAGAGAGCAGTTCTACTCAATCCTATAAGGTTGCTATGAGTTGAAATCAACTCAATGTCAGTGGGTTATTGGGGTTACTGTAGTATCATATGACATTGGCTTTTTAAAAAATTAACAGCAAATAAAGTCAGAAATATAAGTGAAAATACTAAAAATCATTCAAAATGAAACCATTGGTTTGGGATACTTAATGGATAAACATTTTGCTACTTCCTTAGCACCTAGAACAGATAACAGTGTAAAGTTAAAGGCCAATACTTTCTACTCCGATGTCTACTACGTGGTACCATTCTTACCAAGAGCATTGGTTAATACATATGAACAAAAAGAATGAAGGGACCATAAGTTTGCCTTTCAGTAGTTCCCAACATATTTGGCTAAATTAATTTTACATTTTAGCTCCTTTTAATCTAGCATGATATTGATGACAGATTGTTAGTACTCTTAATAAGAAACAGTGGAAAAAACTTTGTTTCTCTATGTAGACGACAAGTTGCAAAAATATACTAAACTATGCACGTTCTTGATTTCAAAAGGACAACTTAACAAAATGTGGAAATTTAGAAAGGTAAAATCCAGCTTTAGCCTAAAATAATCTTGATGATCTACTAAATTCTTTCATTTATTACTTAAGACAGACAGTACCATAATTCTCCTTTTGTTTCCATGAAGCCAGTTATTTCATATTCAGAACCTAAATCAAAATTTTAATTTAAAATAGAGTATGTCTTTAAATTTGTAATAAACATAAGTAGAATATGTTTTCACAATTTAGATATTCACAATTGTTTATGATGTAATCAATAGAAATTATGCAACTCCATGAAATGAATATAGATGAAATAAGTAAGTACTTAATGCTCATGACTGTTAATTTTACTCATATAAAAACAAACTTTAAAAATATTGCAACATTTAAAGCAACATTTCAAAACAGGAACCTCACAAAGAGCTTTTTATAGTAATAAGGTTAAAGCTCACTATTATAAAACTAAATCAACCTGATTGATATTCAATAATACTCAAGAGAAAATGTTTCACCTTCTAATTTACTTTTTCTGTGAAGCTGCAGCTAAAAGGAGGTTTTCAAATGTGGTATTTACTGGCCACTTTTTAGACTTTCTACTCAGGCTGCAGAGTAACAAGCCGATGCTACTAAGCCATACATAAAGATCCTACTTATTAAAATACAAATTAGGCACACTTTATGTTTATACATGTGTAAGAACAATTAATATTGCAGACTTAGTTGGAAACAAAATTGTTTTAGTTAACCAACCATTGCAATGCAATCAAATGAGATTTCAAATGCAACTGGAAAAGATCTGTTCAGTAGAAATAATAGCAATTATTTCATGCGGAACAATGTGTCTTCCGAGCCTTTTTTTCTTTTCTACCACCTGCCCTTAATAAAATAATTTGTCCATCGTAAGTGACATGAAATGTCACCTTTAACACCCATAAATTGCATAGAGACTTGAAAAGCAGCTGGTAGACAGCTTATTTACAAACATTGGTTTGAACTTGTAAATGCATGACCGCATAAATCTTAATCCATTTAGAGTGTATGCCCTTTGTCCCCTCAATTGTACATTCAGTTGGGAATTGAATGCAATTGAAGGAGTCAGTGAGTTACATGAGCCCTTTTTTGTTGCCAACATGAGCTTTGCTTTGTGTTCTTGTTTATGATATTTCTCTACATTACACAGCAGGGGATGTTAATCAACATTTTGCCTAAGAAATATTAATGAAACTTTCCTACTTATACTTGAGGGAAGAGCCAGAATGTTATATTTCTTTTTGAAATGTTAATGTACCTTTTAGGAAATTATTTTTCCTTCTAAATCATCTTGGTGTTAAATTATTCAAGTATGGCATTAAAGAACCATTGTACTGATGCAAATAGTTAAATAGTTTAAAAAACAATAAGGATACCACTCAACTTCAAATTAAATATTTAAAAACGTTTAGTTAAAATATTGATGAAATTTGTAATTGTTTTCTGTGGTTTCATAAATTAAGCAGAGATTTTATGTTGACAATTTCAAATTTCCCTCCACAAGTTTAACTTTGAGTTGTAGTTTGGAACTGAGATACTTGCTTAACCTTGCAATATGTATGGGGATAAAATATAAAACAGGAGAAATGTATCCTATTTTCCTATCATTAAAAGCTGAAGATTAAGAATCTTCATTAGGTCTGTTCTCTGTAGGATAAGCACTTGTACTGCAAGGTCAATTTGAACTGCAAGTTGGGTGGTTCAAGCTTACTGGCCACTCTTTGGAAACCCTATACAGCTCGTTATGAGTCAGAACTGACTTGACAGTTTATAACAACAACAACATCTCAACATGGTAGCTCCTTAAGGTATTTCAAACAAAACAACTATTGTAAAGACATTTAGCTGACAAGATAAGATACGAAAATATCAGTTCTCAGTGTACATACATTCACAGTACATTGAGAAGCATATTCAGAAAATGCTTTCAGGATTGTAAAATGTGTATTCCTTTACACTATCTTTTGATGTCATATAAATTTCTTATAAACTGTAAAAAATTGAAAGGTAATCTAGAAGGAAGTTAAGAATAGTTTTTGCTTTAAGATTTCTCCCACTTTCTTCTTACAACTCCTAATACGTACTGGCTAAACCATTTATTTCCTACGATAATTTAACATGATGATAAGGAGCTCTGTTAGCATAGTGGTTATGAGTTGGGCTGCTAACCTTAAGGTCAGCTGTTCAAAACTACCAGCTGATCCATAGGAGAAAGGTAAGGCTTTCTGCTCTCATAAAGATTTACGGTCTTGGAAACCCTTTGCAGAATCGCTGTGAGTTTGAACTGGCTCCATGGCACATAACCACCATATTGTCATTATGGAGTTCTGGTGTGGTACTGTAGAATAAGCACTTGACCACAGGTCAGTTCAAATGGCCAGCTAAGCAGTTCAAACTCACCAGCAACTCCGTGGAAACCCTATACATGATCACTATGAGTCAAAACCAATTGGATGGCACTTAACAATAACAACAAGAACAGAATTGTCATAGTAATAGATAAATAGATAAACAGATAGACTGACCCACTGAATTCAGCACAGGATCACTTTTGATATTTGTATAATTGATCATAAATAGAACAACTCTTGGAATAGAAAGCAAGTTCATAAAAAAGATATAAGAAAGTTATTATCAGTCAATATGACCTGAAAGTAGGCTAAAGGAGAAAGATTATTTCTAGCTAAAGTGCAGCATATTAAATTTTGAGGCCTAATACTTTCATATTCACTTTAATCATATTGCCAACCAAAATGGTGATTACAAACTGCATACTATTTCTTGCAAGATCAAAATACTTAAAGCAACTTGGTTTACAATGCATATAATCAAAATATATATAATGATTATTCTGATTTTGCAAATTTTGTACTCTTTTAGAAGTGATTGATTTTATAACTGTTTTTAAGAATTGGAGCACATTTCAGGGAACATTAAAAAACAAAAAAACAAAAAACAAATATAGAATATATGCAAGAACATTTTGAGCAACTTAACTGACTTAGGTTTCCAAATTGCAATTTTTGGAAATAACAAAAAAAGTATAGTTGTTTGTTGGCCCCCAAATTCCAAAACATCTATCACTGAAAAATTATTTGAATGCAAAAAGAATTAATTAAATACAAAAGTTCAATCTACTGAAATCAAGTGATTAAAAAAGGTCTTACTGCAAAATCCTCCCTCCACTGGTGGGCGGCTTGAACTCTCTCTGCTTCCCCAGCCAGGCGCTGAAAAAGATACAATAAATCATAGAATTCAAATGACCACATGAACATGTAATTGCTATACAAAGTACTTGGGTTTTCTAATCAATTACAAGGACATAATACCAGAAGTGACTCCTTATTTATGATTCATAAATTCTGAATCATTTAGTAAGGTAACCTAATAAAGTTGATGTATGTGTATTTTTTCTTTAATAATATAAATAAAACACTGTTCTTAAATTCCATTATGTTTATTACCTCTGCCATCATCAACAGGAGCATCCTCTATGAGTGGTTTCTTTCAATAACCAACATTTTAATTTTTATTAAAACATTTATTCAAGAGAATATATTAATCTTGACAGAATCCTACTTTTAGCAAAGATGTTTATAGCATGTGCTTCTCTTTGAGTGGAAAAGAATGGTACCGAGAGAGGAATGTCCTATCTGCTCCCGTAACAAGTTACAGCCTCAAAAACCTTACACAGGGTTGCTATGGGTCCAAAACAACTCGATGGTACACAACAAAAACAAGTATTATAGTGGTGATGGAGGTGGTGGTTGTGTGCCGTGGAGTTGGTTCTAACGCAAAGCAGCCCTGTACAGGGTTTCCAAGGCTGTAAATCTTATGGGAGTGGAAACCTCATCTTTTTCCTTCAGAGTGACTAGTAGATTTGAACTGCTGATCTTGCAGTTAGACAGCCCAACTCACTATGCTACCAGGGCTCCTTAGGCACTATATTAAGCATTTTTTAATAATTTTTTTACTTTTTACCAAAAGTCATAAAAGCAATCATTTCTGCCTTGTAAAAGCACATTCTTAGAAATTATTTAAGAGATAGTCTGAGTAGTAAACACTTTCAGGATTCCCAGAGCTGCAACAGTTTTGTTTCACCTTCATACTTTTATGGTAAAATGGTGGTTAGGTGCTGTGGAGTCGGTTCTGACTCATAGCTACCCTGTACAGGGTTTCTGAGGCTGTAAATCTACGGGAGCAGAAAGCCTCATCTTTCTCCCGTGGAGTAGCTGGTAGTTTCAAACTGCTGACTTTAAGGTTCGCAGTCCGATTCATAACCACACGTAAGTAGAAAGGTAGAAAGTGGAGGCTGACCTATGTTCTCTTAGCACTTGAAACATCTATTCTGATAAGGACAATTGGAGATCAAATGTCTCGTGTAGTGGAAGTCTGACAATCACTGTTTGTAGAACAATTATTATTTTTCCTTTCTGTTAGTTACACTTTCCAGTTTTACTATTATCCCTGTCATATGCTTTACAAGTTGTTGTTGTTGTTCTATGCTGTCGAGTCGGTTCCAACTCATAGCGACCCTCTATAGTGTTTCCAAGGCTTGACAAGAGTAAATCTTGATGAGAGCAATAACCCTCATCTTTCTCCCGTGGAACAGCTGGTAGTTTCAAACTGCTGAACGTGAGAATAGCAGCCTGATTTGTAACCACTACGCTACCAGTAAAGAGATAGTAATATTTAGTGATTAAGAGCACAGACTAGGGCCATACTGCCTACATTTGAATAAACACACAAATCAGTTACAACTTTAAAGAGTAATTATAATTCCATTTTCTTTCTGTGTCCATTTAAAAAACAGTTCATCTGTGGCCTATCCCACAGAACAAGCACAGGATAGTAGCAGAAGGGACCAGTATCTAGAGAAGGATATCATGCTCTGTGAATTGGAGAGTCAGGAAAAAGGAGGTAGACTCCAATGAGATGGATTGGCACAGTGGCAGCAGCAATGGGACCATGCATAAGTGCATTTATAAGGATGCAGCAGGGCCAGGCAGTGTTTTTTATATTGTGCAATAGGGCTGCTGAAGTGTAACCTACTCAATGGCACCTAACAACAACAACATAATAGCAATTATAGTATATGTACTAAACATAAGAGACAAAACTTACGAGGTTAAATTTTAGAAAAATAAAAATTTCATGTTGGTTTATTACTTCAAGCTGTTTTTGCTTTCGCTACAACGAACTTAAGCTTGAGTTATCTCTATAAAAGTCCAGCGACTGATGGATAAAAAAAACAATAACCTCATAAGAACATTTCTTATAATAGTAGAGTAGCTTCTATTCCCAGTAAGATATAGGCAGCTTGGAATATAACTACTATATATCTGTTTTTACTACCAATTGTCTGTCAGTTTGTCATACTGTTGTAGTTTTCATGTTGTTGTGATACTGGAAGTTATGCCATGGATATTTTAAATATCATTAGGGTCACCCATGGTGGATAAGTATCTGCTGAGCTCCAAAGAAAGACTAGAAAGAAAGAGAGACAGACTACTTCTGAATATTGAGTCGCTGAAAACTTTATGAATAACAATGAAACACTGTCAATACCAGAATATTGGATATTGAAACATGATGAAGAGCACCATAATACTATCAGATATAATGCCAGATGATGAGCCCCTCAGGTTGGAAGGCACACAAATGGGACTGAGGAAGAGCTGCCTCATCAAAGTAGAGTTGACTGTGATGACATGAATGGAGTAAAGCCCTAGGGACCTTCAAGCTGATGGGGCACAACTCAAAATGAAGAGAAACAGCTGTAAATATCCATTAATAATCAGAACGTGGAATGTATACTGTATGAATCTAGGAATATTGGAAATTGTTAAAAATGAAATGGAACACATAAACATGATTATTCTAGGCATTAGTGAACTGAAATGAAATGTCATTGGCCATTTTGAATCTGACAATCACATGGTTTACTATGCTGGGAATGACAAATTCATCAGGAATGGTGTCACATTCACCATCAAAAAAATAAACAAACAAACAAAAACTTATCAAGATTTGTCTTGAAGTACAATGCTGACTGTAATAGGATAGTATCTATACACCTACAAAGAAAAGCAGTTAATGGCCACTATTATTCAACTTTACACACCAATCACAAAAGCCAGTGATGATGAAATTAAAGGATTCTACCAACTTTTTCAATCTGAAACGGATCAAACATGGAATCAAAATGTATTGATAATCACTGGTGATTGGAATGCAAAGGTTGGAATGCAAAGGAAGGATCATAGTTAGAAAATATGGTGTTGATGATAGAAATGATACTGGAGATCACATTATAGAATTTTTCAAGACCAATGACTTCATTACAAATACCTTTTTTTAAGCAACGTAAACATGACTATGCACATGGACCTCACAAGATGGAATACACAGAAATCAAATTGACTACATCTGTGGAAAAAGATGGTGGAAAAGCTCCATATCATCAGCCAAATGAAGGCTGTGGGCAGGCTGTGGAACAGATCAGATTTGATGCATTAGACACTAAAGACCGAAGATCAAAAGAATTGTGGGATGACATCAAGAACATCATACAGGAAGAAAGCAAAAGATAATTAAGAAAGCAAAACAAGGGAAAGACCAAAATGGATGTCAGAAGAGATTCTGAAATTTGCTTTCCAGTGGAAAGATGCTAAGCAAATGAAAGAAATAAGGAGGTAAAAGAGCTGAATAAAAAATTTCAAAAGGTAGGTCGAGAAGACAAAGTCAAATATTATAATGAAATGTGCAGAGACCTGGAGTTAGAAGGCCAAAAGGGAAGAACACGCTCAACATTCTTTAAGTTGAGGCAACTGAATAAAAAATTCAAGTGTCGACTTGCAATATTGAAGGATGCTACAGGCAAAAAAATATTAAACGATGCAGAAAGCATCAAAGAACATGAAGGGACTGCACAGAGTCACTGCAATAGAAATAGATAGTTAATGTTCAACCATTTGAAGAGGTAACCTATGATCAAGAGCTAATGATATTGAAAGAAAAAGGTCAAGGTGCATTGAAGGCACTGGCAAAGAATAATACACCAGAAGATGACATACAAATTGAAATCATTCAACAAACTGATGCAGCAATGGAGGCACTCACTCATCTATGCCAAGAAATCTGGAAGAAAATTACCAGGCTAACTGACTGGAAGAGACTCCTATTTATGCCCATTCCAAAGAGAGGTGATCCAACAGAATGCGTAAATCACCAGACAATATAATTTATATCTCATGCTAGAAAAATGTTGCTAAAGATAATGCAAAATGGCTATAACCATACATTGACAGAAACTTCCAGAGAAGCAAGCTGGAATCAGAAGAGGACTTGGAACAAGGGATTTCATTGCTAATGTCAAATGGATCTTGGTTGAAAGAGAATACCAGAAGGATATTTACCTGTGTGTTTATTGACTACTCAAAGAAAACATTCCTGAGAATGAATATTCCAGAACACTTAATTGTGCTCTTGAACAATGATACATAGACGAAGAGGCAGTTTTTAGAGAAAAACCAGGGAACAGTGAATGGTTTATTATTAGAAAAGATATGCGCCAGGGTTATATTCCTTCACCATACTTATTCAATCTGTGTGCTGAGCAAATAATCCAAGAAGCTGGATTATATGAAGAAAAATGTTAGACAATTATTAATGAAGACTGTAGAAGAATTGATGCATTTGAGCTATGGCATTGGAGGTGAATAATAATATTACCATGGACTATCAAAAGAACAAACCAATCTGTGATGGAAGAATTACAGCCAGATTGGCCCCTGGAAGCCAAAGTAGGCCAGACTTTGTCTTTCATACTTTGGACATACTGTCAGGAGAGACCAGTCCCTGGAGAAGGATATCATGTTTGGTAAAGTGAAGGCTTAGTGAAAAATAGGAAAATCTCCAATGAGATGGATTGGCACAGTGGCAACAGCGATGAGCACAAATGTAAAAACACAACCTGGCAGTTGTGTTCTGTTGGGGATAGGGTCACTATGAATCAAAACCGACTCAATGGCACCTAGCAACAACAATATATCTGTACTGGATAAGAAAAAAAAAATTTTTTTCTCATAATCCCAATATTTCCACATAATAATTAATGGCATTGAGAATATTTCTATCCAATCTTACTGTTAACTGCTTTATTCATGATGAAATTAATAAAATATTTTATCTAATAAATTTCATGATAAATCGTAATTGTGTACTT